GGCACTGGCTCAATGCTGCGCTCCGCTGCAGCTCGGGGTACCCACGGGGGATTTTGGGGTACCCACGGGGGATTTTGGGGTACCCACGGGGGATTCCTCGCTCCCCCTTTTGCCTGATCAGAAATCCCCCAACCCGAGCTGGCCCAGTGAGGTCTGCACAAGCCCTGGCCTGGTGGCAGCTCCACACACCCCTCCTGTCAGCCTCGCTCACACGCTCACCTTTCGCTTTCCACTGTCATCTTGATGGCGGTGGAGACGTAGCCCCGGCCGTCCTTGCCTGTCTGCTCCTCTGCTCAGAGAGGAGAAGCATCCATGAGCCACCACCCCAGCACGGGGCCATGCTGTGCCAACCCTGGCTGGGTCGCTGCAAGCTCTGGGGCCACCAGGACCTGGGTAAGACCCCCCAAACCCCTCTTCCCCTCCCAAACCTCCCACCTCTCCCTGCAGCATTGCTGGGGAGGAAGATGTGAAGCCCCAGGCCCATCTCTGCTCCCACCCACTCACTGTTGTAGTGACTCCCAAACGCCTGGTCCTTGGGGATGTTGGGGTAGAGGTTGCGGAGCTGCCCCAGGTCCCGGATGCGGTCACCGAGGGACCGGATGGATAGGTCCTTGGCAGAGAAGGGCTGGATGTTCTCCACCTGGCTGGAGCCTGAGGAGAGACACAGCACAGGACTCCATCATCTGGTCCCCATCACGCCCAGCATCCCCAGGCCACAAAGACACCTCCCCTTTGCAGCACTGAGAGCAGCCCCTGTCCCCCCATCTCACCATCCTTGCCCCGGATGACATGAGCAATAGTGACACCCCCAATCTCCGAGTCACTGAAGCGGAGCAGGAAGGTCCCGTCAGGCTCCGTGCTCAGGAGCTTGCAGACATACTGCTTGCTGATGAAGCCGATGATGAGCCTGGAAGGATGGACAGATGGGTGACTGGGCCAGTGCCAGGGAGCAGGGGTGGGACCAGGACCCTGGAGCAGCCATGAAAACCCCCTTGGCCCCTGGGCACCCACCTGTCTGACCAGTAACTTTTGAGACACCTCTTGGTGAGGTCAAGGACTCCATCAAACCACTGCCAGAAGGTGAATCCCCGACCAGGCAGGATCTCCTGTGGCAGAGAAAGGGTGTGAGGCTCCCCAGGGTGATGCCAGCCCCTGCCCACCCTGGCCATCCCTCCCAGTAACCTTGTTGAACTGGGCCCAGGAGACACTGCGACTCTGGAAGTCCTCGAAGCTGGCACTGTGGTCATTAAAGATCTTCTGGGCCAGGAAGAAGTAGTGCTCCTTGAGAAGCCCCTTGGTGGTCTGCACCTCTGCCATGAACTTCAGGTTCAGTGTATCACACATCTTCTCCCAGGGCACCCGCTCGGCCACCACGAAGGGCACCCGGTCCTGTGGCAGGGCAGGATGGCATCAAGGACAGGGATCACC